CGGGGTCCAGGCGAAATCGTTCTTCCTTTTGAGTAGGGAGAAGAATTTGTGGCTTCGATCTGATGACCTCGAAATGAATCGGCCTAAGGTAGCTATCCGCCTGCTCAGCCTTTGCACTACTTTCACGCTATCCACAACGGTGATGTCTTCGATGGCCTTAATTTTGTCGGGGTTGATCTCGATTCTCCGATTCGATACCATAAAACCAAGGAACTTGCCCGATCCAACCCCGAAAGCACATTTCTCGGGGTTGAGCTTCATGTTATATTTCCTTAAGATCTTGAACGTTTCCTGCAAATGAGTCAAATGGTCCTCTGCATGCAGGGACTTAACTAGCATGTCATCAATGTAAACTTCCATTGACTTACCTATTTGTTCTTCGAACATTTTATTCACTAGGCGTTGGTAAGTAGCTCCTGCGTTTTTAGCCCGAATGGCATTATATTATAGCAATAGGTTCCGTACTTGGTGATAAATGAAGTTTTTTCCCGGTCCTCTAGGTTCATTCTAATTTGATTGTACCCGGAGTAGGCGTCGAGAAAAGTAAGGATCTCGTGGCCGGCTGTGGCATCGATCATGCGATCGATGCTAGGTAGTGGAAAAGAATCTTTGGGGCATGCTTTGTTTAGATCTTTATAATCTATGCACATTCTAAGTTTGTTCCCCTTTTTAGAGACTATAACTACGTTGGCTAACCACTCGGGATATTTTACCTCCTGAATTGATCCTATTTTGAGAAGTTTAGTTATCTCATCCTTTACAAATGCGTATTTTACCTCGGACTGTGGTCTTCTTTTTTACTTTACCGGTTTGAACCTAGGGTCCAAGCTCAGCTGGTGTGTCGTTATCGACGGTGGGATCCCTGCCATGTCTAAATGGGACCAAGCAAAATAGTCTATGTTATCAATAAGAAATCAAATGAGTTTTTCCCTGAGTTCGGAGGTCAATCCCGTTCCCAAGTATACCTTTTTATCGGACAGATATTCGGTTAATATGACCTGCTCCAGTTCTTCGATCGTAGATTTGGTAGCGTCGGAGTCGTCGAGGATGATGAAAGCTTGAGCTGTCAGAAACTCTTTCTTGTCATCCTCTATTTCCTGCTCCACTGGTTCGGTCGAGATTGGTGGCTGTGATTGCTATTTGGTTTCTTATCTATCTTTAGTGCTCGATCTTTTTGAGACCGATAGCGTTGGCATCGGTGTTACCTCATCAACCGCAAACATTTACTTCGTAGCATGTTGTTCCCCGTATACTGTTTTCACACCGTACGACGTAAGAAATTTCATTACTTGGTGGAGGGTCGAAGGCACTGCCTTCATATTGTGGATCAAAGGTCTTCCGAGTAGGGCATTGTATCTCATATCCCCTTCGATTACGTGGAATTTGGTATTTTGGATGGTTCCAACTACATTCACTGGTAGAGTAATCTCCCCTTTAGTCATTTCACTAGCCATATTGAAGCCGTTCAAGACCCGAGCTGCGGGCACGACTTGATTCTGCAAACCGAGCTGCTCCACTACCAAAGATCGGATGATATTCATAGAGCTACTTGGATCCACTAAAACACGCTTAACTTGAGCTTTATTTAATAGGATAGAAATTACCAGAGCGTCGTTGTGAGGTTGAGAGATGCCCTTGGCTTCTTCAATTCCGAATGATAAAGTGTCGTTGGGTACATAACCTCGAGTTTATTTTTCCCCTGTGGCCGGTATCTTGCCGTACTTGAGCACGGGTCTCTACGGAGTATCGACCCCAACGATGAACATATGGATGATATGCAGAGGTTCCTCTTGTTTATCCTTTTTGCTGGCATCCCTTTCTCTGAAGTGATTCCTGGCTCGGTCGCTGAGGAACTCTCGAAGGTGGCCCTCATCAAATAGGAGGGCTACCTCTTCTCTTAATTGTCTGCAATCCTCGGTCCTGTGGCCATGCGTGCCATGATACTTGCACATCAAATTCGGGTTTCTTTGGGAAGGGTCAATTTACATGGGTCTGGGCCACCTAGTATCTTTGATTCTTCCGATCGCCGATACAATGCTCGATGCGTCGATGCTGAAATTGTACTTCGATAGTCGGGGTGCCTCTATGGGATCACCATATTTATCGAATCCACTCTTGCTCATAAGCCCCCGAGAATTTTGTCCTTGATTGTTCCGAGCGAAGTTGCGCGGCGAGCCATTGTTCATTTGATTTGTGGCATACGGTTGATATCGGTCTCTGTTCGATCTTTGTTCTCTGTCGATATCCCTCTGGTTTTTGATAGCTGCCCTGTTCTGGTGCATGGATCTGGAAGGCAACTGGTCGTCTTTGACCCTGATTTTTGACTGATATCGGTTGTGCACATCTGCCCAAGTCATTACTGGATACTCGATTAAATTTTGCTTCAGCCGACGTGATGCTATTGAACTTTGCTCATTCAACCCTAGGGTGAAAGCTTGGACGGCCCAGTCGTCTGTGACCGGTGACAATTCCATGCGTTCCATTTGAAATCGGGACACGAACTCCCTCAGCATTCCATTACCGTTTTGCTTTATTTTTGAAGAGGTCTGATTTCCTTGTTGCAACCTTTATGGCACCAGCATGCGCCTTTACAAAGGGTCCGCTAACATGGCAAAAGAATCAATGGAATTTAGGGGCAAATTATGATACCAAATCATCGCTCCCTTCGAGAGGGTCTCTCCGAATTTTTTCAATAACACGGATTCGATCTCATTGTCTTTCAGATCGTTACCCTTGATGGCACACGTGTAAGAGGTGACGTGTTCGTTGGGATCGGTCGTACCGTTGTATTTGGGAATTTCGGGCATACAAAATTTTTTGGGGATTGGTTTTGGGGCTGCACTCGAGGGAAAAGACTTTTGGATGAATTTCTTCGAATCCAACCCTTTTATCATTGGTGGAGCTCCCGGGATCTGATCGACCCTGGAATTATATGTTTCTACTTTTTAATCGTTGGCTTTGACTCGTTTTGTGAGTTCCTCGAGCAATTTGATAATTTTGGGAGTAGTCCCCGATTCTTACTCATTTGACTTCACTATGGCTGGCTCCGTTCTGTGGGTGATTTCCCGAAGCGGATCGGGCTCCGACCTGCTTTGTACTTGAGTTTGGCTCTACAACTGAGCTATCGCTATTTGCTGGGCTTGTAACATCTCGAAGATCATCCGTAAGCTGACTCCGATCTCCTCCACGTTATGGGCGTCTCGAGCTAAGGATCGAGTACCGCCCTGAATACTTTTTTCCGGTTCGGAACGTTGGTTCGCCTCAAGAGCCACTTGTGAATTGACGTCTAGTGGTACTTCGACTCGAGCTTTAGTGACATCGTTAAGTGGCCTTCCGGCCCTGGGTATCAAGTTGTTGGTTTCATCCTGAAGGCCGGCTTCATGGTCGATAGGTAAAGCCATGAATTGAGGGTTTGCCATTGCTGATTCAGAGTTGTAAACTGGTACGTATTGCGGATTTGTATCAAACAACCACTGTTATCCTTAGACCCATGGTGGGTACCAAATTGTTTACCCGAAAAATCAGATACTGTTGAATTTATAAGTAGTTCTAAGGATATGTGATATAGCCTGACATAAATCGTACGTAGAAGTGGAAATGTTTGGATTCTTGGCTGTAAAAATGAGATATAAATTATTGAACTAGAAGAGTGAGTGTGTTGAGTAAAAAAACTTAAGAGATTTATTATTCAATAAATAGAAGTAGTCTGTTCTTATAATGTCCCCTCTGCTTACAAGGATTCCCCCTCTTTATAGTAGGGGGATGTTACTTTATTTATAATAATAATAATAAATACATAGTGGAGAACCCATGATAAATTGTCGCTTCCTCGATTCCTACCAAGATTCTCTCCTCTAGTGCGGTTTCAACGGCTTCTTCTTGCCTTGCGATTCGATTTGGTCATGGGCTCGATAATGATATCGAGCTGATTCCTCGATCGCTCTTGGAGCTCGAGGCTTGTATGTACTATCCTCGGAACTCGTCTCAAGCTCTCACTTCGATCGCTTACCATTCGAGCTCGAACAAACGTACGGAAGGCCAAAATCTATTTCGACCGTATACATTGTGCAAGTTCATAGTTGATTCTATTGCAACTTTTTGGTTACAAATTATTGAATTTGTGAGTTCAATAATCTAGTGATTTTATGTGATACAAAAATAACAATATACCCATTATATTTTCACAAATGGGGTTTGAGAAGAGTAGTATATATGCAGACCTTACCTTACATGGTGAAGATAGAGAAACTGTTTCCGGTATACCCTTGCCTCAATAAAAGCAAAATCACAGCAGTTATGACAATAATTTTATGTGATATTTAAGCAAAATTGAGTGATATTTTATTACAAAAATTAGTCTAGTAACTTTTTGTGATGCTTAAATAATTTTGAATTTTTTTTTATTAAAATAATTTAGTAATTCCAGTACATTTTTGAGTCAGCAGGTTTGAAATATGTGGAATTTATTACATGTATATACATATATTAATTTGTTTTTTTGCATACCCTTTTTTTAAAAAAAGTGGTTTGCAAGTTGACCCTCATCACTTGGCAATTGGGATTGGGAATGGAGTAACATTTTAATCCCCCGAAAAAGGCTTCCCAAATCCCAATTTTATAATTTTCCCATTTCTCAATTATTCACGGATCTTAGCCTGACCCGCAAACCTTATATAAAAGGTGCCCCTATCATTGGCTGTAGCATTCTCTTTCTCTCAGCTCTATTCGCTTCGTCCGAGTGTTGTTAGGGATTGTAAATTCGTTTTCCAATTCACAATTCCTCTTTACTGAAAAATGAAGATGATCGTATTGAAGAGTTCCGACGGCGAAACCTTCGAGGTAGAAGAGTCAGTTGCCGTAGAGTCGCAGACAATCAAGCATATGATCGAAGACGACTGCGCCGACACCAGCATCCCTTTACCTAACGTGACGAGCAAGATCTTAGCTAAGGTGATTGAGTACTGCAAGCGCCACGTGGACGCCGCCTCTAAGACGGAAGATAAGGCCGTCGAGGACGATCTCAAGGCTTTCGATGCTGACTTTGTCAAAGTTGACCAGAGTACCCTCTTCGATCTCATCCTGGTCTGTATCTCTTTATTTTGATACTGCTGTTTATACTAATTTTTGAATTTCGTGAAGATTATTATGTGTATCTTACTTAATTCATCTAGGGTTCTGAGTAAGACCGTTAAATCCGTTGAATAGGTACTTATAAGTCATTTTAAATATGTATGAAGAAAGAGTTTTAAGTTATATGCACTGATGGTCACTTATTAGGTAATTACATGTAAATCTCTTGATAAACATTTATTAGTAATCTGATAAAATTGGTAACTAGCAGCTAAACTGCTATCAATAGTTTAATGTTCACTGATAATGTAAAAAATCTTTATCACGGTCTTTAAAGAGGTTATCTGGAGATGTTTCGAGGCAAAAGGTATGCCGGTTTCCTGGTTTTGCGCTCAGCCCTTTCTTGTTTGCCCCGGCGATGGACGCACTAACACACCATATTCAAGGGGAGGTGCCATGGTGTATGTTATTTGCCGACGACATAGTTGTGATTGATGAGATGCGAGCCGGTGTTAACGAGAGGCTGGGGGTTTGGAGACAAACCCCTGTCTAAGGGTTTCAAGCTATAAGACGGCATACCTGGAGTGCAAGTTAGCGTTGAGCCGAGGGAAGCGGGCGTATATGTGAGGCATGAATCACAGGTCATCCCAAGTAGAGTTAGTTTCAAGTACTTTGGGTCGGTTATCCCGTGGGGAGGGGAGATCGACGAGGATGTCACACTCCGTATTGGGGTGCGGTAGATGAAGTGGAGGTAAGTATCCGGAGTCCTGTGTGAAAGAGAGTGCCACCGATACTCAAAGATAGGTTTTATAGAGCGGTGGTTAGACCGGCCATGATGTATGGGGTTGAGTGTTGGCCTTTTAAGAGCTCACGTATCGAGAAGATGAAAGTAGCAGAAATGAGGATGTTGAGGTGGATGTGCAGGCACACTAGGATGAATAAGATTAGGAATGATGATATTCGGGAGAAGGTGAGCGTGGCTCTCATTGATGACAAGATGTGGGAAGCGAGGCTCATATGGTTTGGGCACGTACATAGGAGAAGCCCAGATGTTCCGGTAAGGAGGTGTGAGCGACTGGCTTTGGAAGGCACGAGAAGAAGTAGATGGCGGCCTAAAAAGTATTGAGGATAGGTAATCGGTCAGGACATGGCGAGGCTTCAGATTTTCGAGGACATGACAGCGAGGCTTAGATAGTTCAGGCACGTACAGAGGAGAAACCCAGATGCTCCGGTAAGAAGGTGTGAGCAGCTGGTTTTGGAAGGCACGAGTAGAGATATAGGACGTCATAAGAAGTATTGGGGAGAGGTGATCAGGAAGGACATGGCGAGGCTTCAGATTTCCGTGGACATGGCACTTGATAGAAAGCTGTGGAGGTCGAGTATTAGGGTTGTAGGTTAGTAGGTAGTTGAGTCTTTTTCTACTTTGTACCTTTCGTTTTTTATAGTACCGGGTCTATTTAATGGATATCGCTTTTGCGTTTCATTTATTTTCTGATTTTTATGATGCTGTTATTATTCCTATGGTATCTGTTGGTGGTACTGATATTGTCTCTTTTCATCTTCTTGAGCCGAGGTTGTTTCCTCTACTCCCTCGGGGTAGGGGTAAGGTCTGCGTACACACCAACCTTCCCAAACCCCACCAGTAGGATTTTACTGGGTCGTCGTTGTTGTTGTCGTCAGTATATATAACTTAAATCCATGAAAAGTTTGTAGGGAAAGAGAACTATGTGGCTCCTCTAGTAATAGTTCCTTATAAACGAAAATTGTTGGAGTGTTATTTGGCTTGATTGTTTCCTTACTTTTTTGTTTGGGCCTTGTGGATTGGTAGTTGTGTAAACTATCAGTATTAGATTTGTGTCATCAGCTTTGCAATTTTTGATATTTTTGTTTATGTGTGGATTTATAGAAGTTTGTTAATGCACATTCATTATTTGCATAAATATTGGCACGAGATGATTTAAATGGAGTAACGTGGTCACTGAGGATTCATATAGCCGATTTCAAGCTGTTTGGGGCAGAGGCATATTTGTTGTTGTTGATGCACCTTCTACTTTTGGCTTCCATTGCCTGTGTTCTTGGCATTTATTTGCTGCAGGCTTAGCTTCTACTCTAGTCTGCACCTGTATAAGCTTCATGGGTAATATATATTGTATAAATATAATCAATCAACTATGCTTCAATCCCAAACTAGGCAAGGTCGTCTACATCATTCCGCCTTGGCATTTATTTGCTGCCTCAATTTTCATAGGGTGAGCTTCTACTCTAGTCTGCACCTGTATAAGCTTCATGGGTAATATGTATTGTATAAATATAATCAATCAGCTATGCTTCAATCCCAAACTAGGCAAGGTCATCTACATCATTCCGCCTTATTCAAGTCCATGACATTTCAATACGTAGTCACTCTGTTGCGGTATGCAACTAACTGCAGTTGGTTTTTAGGTGTTATTTGATGCGTTTGAACTAATGAAATAAATTTTGACCGCTTCTTTTGATAGTCTCTTATTTCTGGTAGTCTTCTTCTCCCTTTTTTCATGTTTGCTTAGTTAAAACTTAAAAGTGTATTATTATAGTGAATAATTTCCATGGCTCATTCTAAAACAATGGGTAAGAAGATATGCTTGTAAGTGTAAAGAAGATATGTTTGAGCCTTAGAGCCGGTTTGGTACTGATTATGAGGTGACGCGTACACCAGGCCCATATTGGGCTGAGTGTTACCATTTTGTGGCGACGCATGCACTTGGCCTCATTATTGGGCTAAGTGATTATAATAGGCGCTTGGGCAGGATCTGCTCTGCCGAAGGCTGTCATGCCAGCAATGGGCGCATGCATAGTGTTTTATATATGTGCTTGATGGCAGTAATGCCAGGCACCCGTATAGTGCTAAGTGTAAATACTATCGATGGATCCATTGTGATAGTGTTGATTTACGTGTATACTTGACATGTAGGCATAGAGATATACTGTCCTCATGCTAACTGGCAATTGACCTGCTTTATCCGTGTTGGGTTTTAAGCTGTTATACTTGAAAGCATGTCTAAATTCCTGAAATGAGAACGAGCTGTACTTGACATTATTGATTTACTGTTTCTACGGTTTATCCAGTATTTTCTGAACTGTTATCGGTTATTGGTACTGGCATTTGACTGTTCTGAGCTCGTATTTGTATAAATTAACTACCCAATATTCTTTTATTTAATATTCAGATTAAGAAATTTGGATGCTTAAGACTATAAGGATAAACTTGAAGCTAGATCCACTCGCGCGGACATGTCAGTGTCTACTAGTCTGTAATACCTGTAGAACTTGTAGTCATACTTAGTTTGTTACCTTTCAGGAAACAAGTGTTAGTTTGGACATTCCTGTAGCACGGTTTGTTTACATGTTTGATATCCCTCTCTGTTCCACTCCCTGAGTTCTTGCTTGCCTTTTGAATCCTGTTGACTGTTGAGTGGCTGACAATTTCTTTTATGTGTTTCCTTTTATATTGGTCTTACATTTCCTTTTAATTATTGCTATTATATTTGCTAGTTGATGAGTTACAAGGAGCATCCCA